ATGTGTTTGTTTGTGTCATTTATCATCTGCCTTTCTCATTAAGACTCAAGGCAGCTGACAGAGTTATAAGAACAACGCAGTAAAGACCATTGCAATGCACATAATGAACGATGTAATAAAACCGGATTACATAGTTAAAAACAATGCAACAGGAACAGTACAATGCACCCCATGAACTGGATTTTGTAGGTGTGGAATTCTCTCTCTCTCTCTCTCTCTCTCTCTCTCTCTCTCTCTCTCTCTCTCTCTCTCTCTGTGGTCACACGGCAAGGTAATTGCGATTTGTTCCCATTATAAATTTAATTGGGAATATTTTTTTTCTGGGTTGGGATGATCACATATCCCTCCCCGAACTGCAAGCATTCCGCGAGGAGGCTCTAGGCACCGTCTAGATGCAGCCAGCCCCTCTCTCTGCTGCCCGCTCGCCTGCCAGCCCACCCGGAACTTCCTCCCCCCCCACTCCCCTCCCCAGCAACTTTCCACACTGCTGGCCCGATGCTGCTGGCAAGCTGAGCACGCTCCCTGGTGCTGGGGGCTCCCTCCCTCCCTTCTAATGCCGCAGCTTTGGGGACTCCTGGGGTGGGCTCCACAGCCCGCTCCCCTGCCAGCCAGCTCAGCACCTCCTCCCTCGTCCGCCGGCTTCCTCCTCCCGCAACTTTCCACGCCGCCTCCTGCTGCTGGCAAGCTGGGTGAGCTCCCTGGTGCCGGGAGGTCCGGGAGGTGAGTCTGCTAGCGCGCCGCCATAAACCGGAAGTCCGCATCAGGACCACGAGCTCTGCACTGGATGTGCGCTTGAATGTTTAAATATAGAATTTATTCCACGTGGGAATTGCTCATGCGCTCAAAGGTGGAAGCTGGGAAAAGAAACCTCATCGTGCAAAGAACAGTCAGACGGCCCTAATCGCAATCATTGTGAAAGATGGCTGTCCAGATCGGCAAAATCGCGGATTCAAAGCACAAGTATCTGGAAAGTACTTGATTTTCCTGGTACAGGAAAACGTGGTAGAGAACCGGGAGGATTGCGCGAGTGAGTCTGCTTCGGCACGGGAGGTGGATTGGGCCCGTCTGATCAGCAGAATTAAATGTGAGCAGTGAAACCCAATCATCTCTCTCCCCCTCTCTGTATACAGGGCTATTTTTGGGCAGGAACGCACAGGAACGAGTTCCGGCTGGCTCCCGAGTTGGCCACGCCCAGCAGGAACCCATTAGCATAATAGGCCACACCCAACAGCAGAAACTCATTAGGATTGACTACATTAGGGGTGTGTGGCCTAACATGCAAAGGAGTTGAAAAAGCCCTGGGTTTTGACAACAAACAAGGTAAACAGAATAAGAAGGGAAAGGTAGGTGTGTCTGGATGACCACACTTCTGGTAACATGGTGGTGTGGCCTAATGGGCTAATGAGTTCTTGCTTTTGGGTGTGGCCTATTAAGCTAATGAGTTCCTGCTGGGCTTTTTCTACAAAAAGAGCCCTGTCTGTATATGTGTGTGAGAGAGAGAGAGAAAGAGAGAGTCAAAGTATACTAAATTTAGCTTTTGTGAAATCATGTGCCTGGATTTGGGGTTCAGGGAGGATCATGCCTCTTCCCTAACAGTTAGTATCCATATGTGGTCTAAAGATGTGTGCTCTAGACAAGCGTCCCTGTGAAAGGGGTCCTTTCCAAGGTAAAGCCCATATTATATTTATGACTTTAAAATTAACCGTAGATACATTAATTTTAATAGGTTTGAACCAATGTTCCCTCTAAGCTGTGGAGTATTGTGAGCAAAAATTTTACATTGTGAGCTACTGGCATTAAAGTTGTGAGCAAGCAATTTGGCTATTGCATAAATTCATTTGCTCTGGAGCCATCCTTCCTGATGGCTCCAGAGCAAAAGATGTGTGAGCCGAAGGCTGAAAAACTATGAGCTAGCTCACACTAACTCAGCTTAGAGGGAACACTGTTTGAGACAAGCCTGTTGGTTTCTGTATGCTGCCAAGTTAGTGGAGGGAAACAGTGTACTCCTTTTGTGCCTCCCGGAGACAAACTAATCTGCTCCAGTTAGTAGGATGACATAAGAGAACTGACCTGCTGCCAGCCTCCAGGTGGGACCTGAGGATTCCCCAGAATTACAGCTCATCTCCAGACTACAGAGACTCTGTGGCATTGGAGGAAATGGCTGTGGATGAGGTTGTCTCTGGGAGGCACAAAGGACTTGATGGCCTTGTAACCCTCTGAGGCCCTTGACCTCCTCAGGCTCCACCCCCAAAACCTCCAGAGTTTCCCAACCTGGATGTGGCCACCCTCCCCCACCAGTGGCCGGGGGGACCTGACAACCCCAACTGTGAACCCAAATATAGAAGCAGTTTGGCAACATCTTCTTTATCCCTCATCTTGGTCTTCACCCTTTCTTGTTTAACTTTCCATCACATCACTTTTCACATTGCTGTTCTAAACCAGTTGTTACCTGTTGTTGGCCCGATTCCAAGTAAAGTGTTATTGGGATGGGGGTTTCGTGCAGCTGATTAAAATCCATTTATGATTAAAATTATTAAAACCTTTAAAATTAAATATATATATAGTGTGTGTGTGTGTGTGTGTGTGTGGCCCCAGTGACACGGGCCAGAAAATGTGGGGGGGAAGCGTGGCTATTTGCCCCGGAGCAAAATAACGCGCAGCCACCTGATCACACATCCCGTCAAGGTCCTGTGGTTAGGGCATGCAGTGCCGATCACACGGCTATCCTGCAGCGCGGCAAAGAATCGGCGCAGCGCGATCACACCAGCAATCGCCAGACGCCGCTTCCGTGGCAAAAGGGATTTTTTCTCACCAAAAGGTGAGCATGCGCACGATCGTTTGTGCGCATCCTATGAAGACTTTTAAAAAAACTAACCGGTTTGCGACGGGACTAGGATGGGATGCGATCAGACGCCCGCCCTTGCCCTGCGTTTTCCGGAAACTAGTACATCGTAAGTACTAGTTTTTTACTCCGTATCTTTGGCACAAAGCCACGGGTTAGCCACGGGTGCACTACACTTCCCAGATGTTGCGGTGTGATCGCGCCCGGAAAATCCGCCTATCATATGCTCCGTGTGAACGGGGCCTGTATGTGTGTTCGTAGTTAAAAACAAAAAGAAAACCTGTCCTACGCAGTCCAGCCTTTTCATCAAATGCTTGAGGAGGGACCATGGCAAAAATGTTAACCTTTTTTTTTAAATAAAGGCTGAAAAACAACATACGGTATAAAAGGGCAAGGGGAAAGTGGCATTTTTGGAAACACCTCAGACATTTCAAATACCACATTACAGCACGCTACAGTGCAAGAAGACCTGAAAATGGAAGAAAGCAGTTTAAAAAAACCAAAAACCCTCCAAAAGATCCACTCAGCCCTGCTTTGCAAACAGGACACAAAGTGGGTTTGTACGAAAAGGGGGGGAAATCCTTAGCAGCCCAGGAGTCCAGACAGTTGTATCTGAAATGACACAAAAAATCCATTAGCAGCTCTCTGCTAAAATAGTGGCTATTGGAAAGGGCCCAAAGTGTAACCTGAGAAAAGGTGATAATCTTGAGGAAGCTCAGGCTCTGGAGGTCTGAGAAAGGGGGTGGTGGGGGTGAAAGTCCACCGCAGGGAAATTTTTGAGCCAGGCATTTGAGTCCCCTCCTCTTGTCTTTTGAAGCAAGCAAGTCCATTTTGCGTGCCTGCCCCTTTATGCTTGGATCCCCAAGACTATGGTTATATTTTCTTGGGGCTTTTTTTTGTGGTGGAACTCGCCACGACTGGGGACTCTTACCTTTTTGGGGAAGGAGGCTCTCTCAAGTCCTGTGGGAGTAACTGGTGGGAATTGGTAAAGGTAAAGGTTCCCTTGCTCGAAAGCCAGTCGAATCTGACTCTAGGGTTGCGGTGCTCATCTCCGTTTCAAAGCCGAAGAGCCAGCACTGTCCGAAGACGTTTCCGTGGTCATGTGGCCGGCATGACTAAACACCAAGGCGCACGGAACGCTGTTACCTTCCCACCAAAGTGGTACCTATTTATCTACTTGCAATTTCTTGCTTTCGAACTGCTAGGTTGGCAGGAGCTGGAACTAGAGACGGGAGCTCACTCCGTCATGCGGCCCCGGGTCTCGAACTGCTGAACTACTGACCTTCCACAGCCTGCAGTTCAGCGTCTTAACCACTTGAGCCACCGCAGCTTGGTGCAACCTTCATATTTATGAATGTCAGCACCTTTTCTTGATAAAAAAAACCCCTACTGTATTTTCCAGGATACAGTAATCTGTTCAGGAGGAGTATTGTTCAGAAGGGCATTTTTTTTTTACAAAGAGGACAGAGGAACAAGATGCGCTCACATTTCTGGCTTATTTCCAAGGACATTATTCACAATCATGCAACATGCTAAACGTCTCTTTCCTGATTGCCTTCTTCTTCCCGCTGTCACAGGATTTCGCCTCCTTTATTGGTCATTGATTCTATAATGAGAATGTTTGCTAGAACTTTTTAACAATTACCTGAGTACAATATCTGAATTTTTATACCCTTATTTTATGGGATGGGTTAGCTATTGCAGAGGTTTATACCGAAAGCTGGTTTGATAGAATTGGATGATGGTATCTTGTGGTCCAATTTAAAATGAATGATGTTTCTCTTTCCAGCATTACCGTTCCTTTTACAGGTATTTTCCTAAATGGGATTTACAGTTGATAAAATCAAGTGGTGCTTGAGTTGCAGCTGGGTGTCATCCTGTGATTTATATGTGTTTATTCCAAAACGGAAGGAAGGATGGATTGGGGGGGGGGGAGAGAGAACTTCTCCACAGTTTGCATCCAGAATCAGATCCATGCATGTCTGCTTTGCATAGACTCATAAGTCAGAAGTGCATCTCAGAAACTGAGTGATGTGAACTCGCTAGCAAGCCAGCAGTTGCAATCCTGTTCAGTATTCTGCTCACCTTTCCCCCCATTCCATTGCTTAAAATAATAACCAGGCCCGTTTCTCCTCCTGACTTTTCTCTGCATCTAGAAATGCCGGGCAGCCCACGCAACCAGTTCACATTCAGGCCTCTCCCGCCGCCCCCACCGCCACCCCACGCCTGCACCTGCAACCGGAAGCCGACTTCATCAGCCGACTCTCTCCAGGCAAGATCGATGACGACTCGCAGCCAGCCTAGTCCGGCCGCTCCACCCCCTCCAAGTAGCACCCAGGACTCGGTGCATCTCCATAACAGTTGGGTCTTGAACAGCAACATACCGCTGGAGACCAGGTAGCTACCAACCTATGTTTGAACCTGTTTGTGAACTAAAAATAGGAATATATGATTGACTGGAGAACAACACAACAGAACATAAAGAAAAGAGAGCGTAATAATAGGGTTTTTATTTTTCCTTTGATGATAACAACTTGTTGGAAACAGTTTGTTATCCTCTTGCTGGTTTGGGTCAGATCACTGATTTATGATCTGTTCTTGGCTGAGTTCTTGGGTATGCCTGATCTTCTCTCTTGGTTAGTCACGCTTCTCATTTGCTGGATGGAAGTCCAGAGAGATCTAGGATGGGCTTTAAAAACACAGCCAGTTGGCTGCCAGCATTACCAACTACTCAAGAGTGGCCGGGGTGGGGGGGATATATTGAGGAAGAGTTTTATGATGATCAATACAAGGTTATATCAGAAAGTGAAAACGTATGAGTGCCAGTGGCGTGTGTCAGAAATGGTCATTACTTCTTGAAGTGCCTTTGTTTCAAGGGTAGTATTTATTGCTATTAATTTTCAAGAAGAGAGTGTGGAAGAGAACAGAGAAGGGTGTGCTTGGGAAATGCAAGGACTTTTTGGGCTGGCCTTTATGCTTTTATTGTGAGCTTGCTAAAAAAAAACAAAGCAAAAGCGGCTGATATCAGCTACTGGCCCGTATCGGTTATCCTAAATCAGCGGTGTCGAACTCATTTGTTACATGGGCCTAGGGTTGCCAAGTCCATCTTCCATCTCCAGCGGGGGACTTTGGGGGCGTTCCTGGAGGGGGCGGGGTGATGATGTCATGTTGGGGACGTCCGCTGCCCCCCCCGCCCGCGTGCTGGATCTCCAGAAACAGCAGTTCCCTGCCCTTAAAGGAGCCAGCGTTTCCCTTTTAAATGCAGGAGCCGGCGTTTCCCTTTTAAGAGCACGAAGCTGGCATTTCCCTGCAAGCCTGATCTCAAGCAGAGATCGGGCTTGGGAGGAAACACGGGTTCCGCACACGTAAAGGGAGAGAGAGGGATGGCTATGGGTGTTGGGGGCGGGGCTTCCCCCGCCGACCATCTGGCCGGCAGCAGATAGAACCCCCCCCCAAAAAACGGGGGACCCCTGGCAAACCGGGGGGGGGGTTTGGCAACCCTACATGGGCCGGATCTGATACAAGTGTCACTTCGTCAGGATGGGCCATGTGTACCATAAGATGTCATGCCAGGTACCGGAGATAGAAACTTTATCAAGGACACAGGAAAACCCAATTAACAATATTGTTTTTTTTACTCAAAATAGAAATGAGCAATTGATTCCTAGCAGTGAATGCAATCGGTTTATTGGGGAGCCCACAAAAGCGCCAATAAATATATTTAATCATATGCAAGACTAGGTTTTTTCCAAGGGATACCATAAAAGGGGAAATCTTATTTTTTTTTTCCCAAGTGATACCTTATATTCCATACGTAACAGTTGCTTGTGTGCCGGGTAAGAGCCCTGGACTGGCCAGTTCTGGCTCCTGGGCCATGTTTGACACCTTTGTCGTAGATAATCCATTGTCTTCTTGTTACAGAATATGTCAGTGCAGATTCTCCTGAAGTAATGTTCCAGTTTAGAGCTTCTTTACTCAATAGCATTTTTTTCTGCAGGGATTTTTTTAAAAAGGCATCATCTTGTTTCTCTGTTTCTTTCGGATACATGATTGGATGGGGAAATAATCCGGGGCTCAGACATTCATGACCCTTTCCCCTCTTAAAGCAACATGAGAGGGAACAAAATTCTTATACAATCAAAGAAGACATGTTTGGTGGCAGCTGCATTACTGGTCTAAATCTTTCTTGTATAATAGCTCTGAAATCTGGCCAATAAGTATAAGCTGATTTTTTTTTTTATTTAGAACATTTGTAATCTCAAAGTAGATTTAGAAGCATTAATTTGTGTCCCACCATAATAACCAGAGATAATTCACAATGCACATGTTGAGTTCTTATATCTCACAAAATCTCATTCTGATTCTTACTGCACCAGTTTGTAACAGGTAGCTTTAGGATGAAAAAAAGAAAAGATATTTTGAACATGACAATTTTTGTTACCACTGGTTATATGATCTGGAATGCCTGTTTAGCACTGTTTATCAGAAATAAAGTTAGCTTTTCAGTCTGTCCATAAGTGCAGAATGCACAATAAAGCACTTTCTCAATGTGTCTGAAGCAACATTCAGCATAATGGAATGACAGATCCACTGCCCAGTTCCTCTTGAGCCATGAATTTACTAAGTAACCTTGGACATATCACCCTACCTTACCTGTAATAAGAACATACGAAGAGCCTTGCTGGATCAGACCAGTGGTCCATCTAGTCCAGCATCCTGTCTCACACAGTGGCCAACCAGTGACTCTTGAGGGCCAGCCACAGGGCACAGAAGCTGAGGCCTTCCCTCAATGTTGCCTTCTAGCACTGGCAGGGCTCTTTTTGTAGAAAAAGCCCAGCAGGAACTCATTAGCATAATAGGCCACACCCAACAGCAGACACTCATTAGCATAATAGGCCACACCCCTGACAGCACCGCTCATTAGCACATTAGGCTGCACCCTCATGTTACCAGAAGTGTGGTCATCTAGCCACACCCATCATTTGCTTCTTATTCTGTTTACCTTGTTTGTTGTCAAAACCCAGGGCTTTTTTTGTAGCAGGAACTCCTTTGCATTTTAGGCCACACACCCTAATGTAGCCAATCCTAATGAGTTTCTGCTGTTGGGTGTGGCCTATTATGCTAATGAGTTCCTGCTGGGCGTGGCTAACTCAGGAGCCAGCCGGAACTCCGTTCCTGTGCGTTCCTGCCCAAAAACAGCCCTGAGCACTGGTATCCAGAGGTTGACTCCATTGGAGGTTCCCTTTAGTAACCATGGTTAGTAGCCACTGATAGACTTATCCTCCATGAGGATAGTAATAGACTATTTTACAGGGTTGCTGGCATGTATACTTTGAAAACTTAGATGAAATACAACAGTAATAATAATGCTGACACCCAAGGAGGTGGTTAGAATGGTAATTGCTGGGGGTCATCAGTGTATAGATGGTACTGAAAGCCATAAGCTTGGATCAGATCATCCAGAAATTACATACTGTACGGTGATCATATAGGACTGTAATTTCCTAGTGCCTTACTACTTGTGTCAGAGGAAAAGCTGTGATGGAAAAAGCAAAGAGAATCTGGTGTCGGTGCAACCAATAGCATCACTCCAGCTTCAGGCATTTCCTGATTGGCTCTTGACATATGATGCCTGGGACCAGTTGAGATACCGGAGGCTCTATAAAGCCCCATCTTGAAAACAGTCTTGTTCTCTTTCATCAGCTTGTCAAGTTGTAGTTTGTTTTGACCTAAACTGAGATTAAGCTCCTCCTACTTTTCCTCCCTGCTCTGTAACCTTCCTGGATACTAAACTGTCCCTACCTGGATCATTGCCTCGAGTCCTCGGGCTCTCATTCGAACCCTCAGAGAACAGACTACTGGCTGCTTTTGAACTCAGCTCTTGCAGCTCTTTCACTCTTGCAGCTCTGGACTGATCCCTGGTTTCCAGATACTTACAGAGGCAGAAAAGCAGAAGGCCAAGAATTCAGACTTACTGCATGTCCATGCCTAAGCCCTGCCAGAGAGAACCTGGATTGTTGGGGGTTTTTTTTCCCAATGAACCTGTTGGGAAGAGCTGTTTACGAGAATTTCCCAAAGTACAACTTCTGTTGCTGTGACTAGGTCACTCCTATTTTAGCAGTAAATTGAGAGTATAGTTATGGGGAGCCAAACTCGGCATGTTGTGCCCCTGTTAGCCGCCCTGAGCCTTCGGGGTAGGGCGGGATATAAATGTAAATATAAATAAATAAATAAATAAAATAAAACCCTACCATTCCCCTTCCACGCTGGACTAAGGTCCTCTCAGCATTTGCCTCCCGTTCTGCTCCAGTGCTGAAAGTGATTGGAAGCAAGACTTTAAGCCACCTTGAACCACGAGGAAAAGTACAAATGTTTTAATAAAAAAATTAAAAATAAAATGTTTAACTCTCTGGTGAGCAGGGAGGTCAGGTATGCAAGGGTCAGGTGTGCAAGGCTTCAGCTCCCCTCACCATAACGGACTGCCCCACTTTTATACATGGCCTAGCCTGCTACCTGTGCTTCACTACAGTATTTAAGTTCCGTAAATCCAGTTAAAATAGTGATGATGTGACGTTTGAAATGTGACATTTGTTGTAGGAATTCTAGAGGAGAAGATTGTAGTGTAAAAAATGAAGTGAGACATATTTTTTCTCTCTCTACTGAAGGACCTCTCTCTAGACCACATGGGTGGTTCTGCCCTCAGGTGCTAGGATCAGCAGGCTGCTTGGTGAGCTCACTCTGGAGCAGGCCACATAGACCTGTCCACTTAAGAAGCAGTCGTCTGTTAAGTCAGCTCCTGCTACCTTCCACGAAAGTGATGGCCTCTCTACTTGTGTTCCTGGATTGTTTTGCTCATATGGAGACTGTGTTGTTCTGAGCACCTCAGGGTGATCTTGCTGGCACTTGGCCTGTGCAGCTCAGTGCACTGCAGGAGTACCAAAAAAAGCTCTGGGTTTTGACAACAAACAAGGTAAACAGAATAAGAAGCAAAAGGTGTGTGTGGCTGGATGACCACACTTCTGGTAACATGGGGGTGCAGCCTAATATGCTAATGAGTTTCTGTTGTTGGGTGTGGCCTGTTATGCTAATTAGTTCCTGCTGGGCTTTTTCTACAAAAAAAGCCTTGAGGAGCACTATGTGCAAATGTCTTTGTCGCATTCTTAAGTTGCCTCCTCCTTGTAAGTTGGTGTATCTGGCTCGATGTTTGCCAGGAGCTTTCTTGGGGGCAGGAAGAGGTGAGAGGTGTGAGGGGGAGTTGGTGTGAGGGAGTGGTGATGTGGTGGACTGTCCAGTGTGGGAGGGGGAGGAGTATTAGAAGCCACTGTGGAGGTGGGGCTGGCAGGATCACTAAGGTGTTACTGCTGGGGCAGGCTCCCTTGTGGCTTTAAGCACCCTGC